CCTGTGTCCCCCCAAAATCCATTTTATTCCAGCCAAGCTACTCATCCTTCTCTGACCCTGTCTTTCTTTAAGTTTTTTTTTTCTTTTTATCCATCCGTAATGGCAAACTTCAGTTCTTTCTGATCATACCTCCAGTATTCACTGGAAGAAATCTGACGTATCTCTCAAGACCCATATTGGAATGTGATCTTCTTTTATTTTTTTTTTATTTGAGTATAATTGCTTTACAATGGTGTGTTAGTTTCTGCTTCACAACAAAATGAATCAGTTATATATATACATATGTTCCCATATCTCTTCCTGCTTGCGTCTCCCTCCCTCCCGCCCTCCCTATCCCACCACTCCAGGCGGTCACAAAGCACCGAGCTGATCTCCCTGTGCTATGCGGCTGCTTCCCACTAGCTACTTACCTTACATTTGGTAGTGTATATATGTCCATGCCTCTCGCTTTGTCACAGCTTACCCTTCCCCGTCCCCATATCCTCAAGTCAATTCTCTAGTAAGTCTGTGTCTTTATTCCTGTTTTACCCCTAGGTTCTTCATGACATTTTTTTTTCTTAAATTCCATATATATGTGTTAGCATATGGTATTTGTTTTTCTCTTTCTGACTTACTTCACTCTGTATGACAGACTCTAGGTCCATCCACCTCACTACAAATAACTCAATTTCGTTCCTTTTTATGGCTGAGTAATATTCCATTGTATATATGTGCCACATCTTCTTTATCCATTCATCCGATGATGGACACTTAGGTTGTTTCCATCTCTGGGCTATTGTAAATAGAGCTGCAATGAACATTTTGGTACATGACTCTTTTTGAATTATGGTTTTCTCAGGGTATATGCCCAGTAGTGGGATTGCTGGGTCATATGGTAGTTCTATTTGTAGTTTTTTTAAGGAACCTCCATACTGTTCTCCACAGTGGCTGTACCAATTCACATTCCCACCAACAGTGCAAGAGGGTTCCCTTTTCTCCACACCCTCTCCAGCATTTGGAATGTGATCTTCTTGATGAGGCATTAATTTATCTTTATAACCATGATTATTGTCTCCTCCTTCTATGCTAGGGCTTATATCAAACATGTCCTCATATTATGGTTATTCATGTCTTTCTGCCACACCAAATTGAAAAGGTCTCCCTTTAGGGCTGGGACCGTGGCTTGTTTTGTTTGCGACGCTCAGAGTGCCAAGCTCATTTCTTCACCCAGAACGCTTTGTAAGTGAGTAGAACTGGAATGGATGCTTGATGGAATTCGACACTGGGTGGAGTCCATTAGGTTTCTTATTTACATAGTTTGGTTCTGTAGAATTGAAACAGAAGTCTTAATATTAAGTAGAGTATTATTCATGAGGTCTCTTTTAAAATCAGTGTTTTGGGGGAGTTGGGTGTAGTGAGAGTCGGGTAGTCATTCAGAGAGTACAGGGTTTCTTACTATCTGACTCTGACTTAAATGAATAATTGCTTTAATGATTTGCAGAAATTTTTACCGCAAATTTACTATCTAAATAGACAGTCTGCTACAATGAATTTGCCTGCACACACCAGTGAAATCATGAGTTGTTTGCAGGTCTTAGTAAGTGTGCAGCCGTCATAGCTGTATCAGGTTTGCTTTACACGCTAGCACTGTGCAGACACACTAAGGAGTGCCTTAAGTATCAGACACTTAGATAGCTGTGTTTTAAATGCTTTATATTATTTAGAATTCCTTAGTGGATTTTTAATTAGGTGGAAAAGATACTTTAGTGATATTTGGGGAAAGTGATTGGGGTTTTCAGATGGGCTTAGGAATACATTCTTTTCTTTTCCCTTTAAATAATGAAACATTGGGGAAACACTTTCTCTGGTTGAGAAGACAATTTGATCAGAAAACATCCCAAATTTCAGGCATTCAGAGTAAACTACCTTGTTCAAAGTCATCAGGCAAATGGTGAGCAGAGCCAGAACTGGAAGTGGAGAGCTCCAGAGAGACAACTGGAAGGTAACGGATGGTGACAGGCCATCCACACTGTGCCTTTGGCTTCCCAAAGTCCAGATGACCTCCCCTCACTGTCATATTGATTGACTAAAGCGCCAATGCTGAGATGGCCACAAATCCCCAGCACATGGGTACAGCTGCACTTTTGTCTCTAGGAGGCTCTAGGTTAGAACATAACCTTCCCGTTTGCAAGCAGAAGTAGAGTTGCCACCAGCCAAAGAGGAAAACAGGACCCTAATGAGCAAGTTTCATGACCACTGCAATGTCAACAAAGAAAATGGAGGCAGAGAGAAAAGAGAGCTTGAGTTTTTTTTCACAGGGTTTTTGCTGTCTCTTACACAAATCTGAGCCTAGGTCTAAGCTTGCCCTTTTTCAGTCCCAACTTCCCTGGTTATAAAATCATGTTCGGCAACTACTCTGAAAGTTATTAAAGTTGCAGCAGGAAACTATGGGAGGCCAGAGAATTTCAGACAAAAGTTATTGCATCAGTAACTCAGAAACTAATCCCTAAAACAATTGACACATTTTTCCAGAGGGCTAGTGCCAATACAGAAATGGAAATCATTGTCAAGGGTCACTGTGTACCTGGAATTAAAATCCATCATTCCTCAGAGCAGAGAGCTATGATTTTGGAAGAATATGAATAGTCATGCCTTTTATCACCATATTTCCTCGAAAATAAGAGTCCTTTATTTTTCAAAAGAACAAGAAAAATTCTGCTCTCTTTGTGTTTTTCCTTAAGGACCCCTCATTTACATTTTCTTTTCAAATTTTTTTTCTTTGACAGTCACACATTTAAACAGAAGGCCTCCTTTTCCTTATTCAATTGTACTGGTTTTATTTTGGATAGAAATCCTGTTGGGTACAGTAACAGAGAACAAACTACAACAGCAATAATCCCTTCTACATAATCTATTGTTGGGAAACTTAATACACTTTTTTTTTTAACATCTTTATTGGAGTATAATTGCTTTACAATGGCATGTTAGTTTCTGCTGTATAACAAAGTGAATCAGCTATACATTTAATACACTTTTATTAAATGGCTGAGGCACTGGCTCCAGTGATCTGAATTAACTACAGAAGAGCACAGAAAGGGAACAGAAATGCCTTCTGCCTTCAGCAGAGCGCACTGCCTGCCCAACAACATGGCAGGGACCGGAGACAAAAACTCCCATCCAGGAACACCCACCCGAAAGACCATAGATTGCCTTAGGCGACGCCTTCATTACCAAAAGTTAACAGATGGAGAAGATTTAATGGGATCTTGGGAATTCCCTTGCTGTCCAGTGGCTAGGACTCTGCGCTTTCACTGCCGAGGGCCCAGTTCAATCCCTGGTGGGGGAACTAAGATCCCGCAAGCTGTGCAGTGCGACCAAAAAAAAAAAGATTTGATGGGATCCAGTGTTAACAAGCAAATAAGCAAATGGAGAAATGGGCCTTCTGATTCACTGTTGGAGGACTGACAACATCCTCAGAGTTTTAAATGTATGTACACTTTGACCCAGGTTCTAAGAATTTGTTCTAAGTTAGTATTTACATAAGCACACAGGGTTAGCCTCAGCGTGAGAGGAAAAATCAGGAACAATGCACAAATCATTAAAAATGCAATCATTGAACTGATCATGTAATTTATATTTATTGTCTTGTGACATACTGTTGAGTGGCAAAGTGCAGTCACAGCAAGCTTATGTGTGTATGACCTTATCTGTGTAAAACTGTAGCTAAAAGGCTGTTCACAGAGGAGTTCACCATGGTAGTCTCTGGATGACCTTCTGGGTGACTTTTACTTTCCTTGACCAACTTTTCTGGATTTTTAATATTTTTTATACTTGGGGTTTGGGAGGGTGCTTTAAATTTTTTTCAAACAGAAAGCTAGTCTTTCCCTAAGTTCCTTCGTACTTGTACTGCCATACCTAAGCCCAACCTAGTGGCAAAACACTATGAAACCTTGTGATGTGTTCATGGGTGTATCCAAATGTGAAAATTCATCGAATTGTACACTTTTGTACATGTGATTTATTTATTGTAATGTACATCAATTACACCTCAATAAAATTGTTTCTCTTTAAAAGGAAAGAAAATACAAAATAGTCCAGGTAATTTCCATTCTCCACACAAAATTGTCAAAATAACTATATACATAAAAAAAAAAACCCTGAATCAATTTTGGAAAGTAAATTTGATGTTCCAATCAGTGACAGGAGGCTACTCCAAGAGGTTAATAGCCTGAGTGAGGTGTAAAAATGTTCATTTAGTTTATTCTCCGTTCTCCAGCGGTGTCAGTGTCCTTGATTATAGATAGATGCAGTGCTCAGTGTTTGACCAGCTTCCGTCTTCTTCTGTTTGAACCTTTTTGCGGAGTCCACGTCAATCTTAGGTAACTTTTACCCCAAAGCATATGCTTCAGTGCACTTTAATTTTCCTTCAGTAAATAAATAGCACTTGCTAGCTTCCCTTAAGTAGCTATATAGCAAACCTGAGGGTTCTGAGACTTTGGGATCTGATAAAATTACAAAAACCAAGCATTCTTTCCAGAGATAATAATGAATACACTGATAAATGCTTTGAAGACAATTCCTTCACTCTGCTGGCAGATTTTCTCAGACATGTATATTCTTTTCCTGTAAGACTAGCTACTGAAGTAGTCCAAAGGTCTGCAGTTGCCTAAAAAGTATGACAAAAGGAACACCAATGGCTACAGTGGGTTTAAGAATTGGGTCTCTGAGTTAGCTGGACAAGAAAGAAACAAATATGTGTGTGTTGCCGTCAGAGTCACCATCCTCAGAGTTTTAAATGTGCATACGCTTTGACCCAGGTTCTAAGCATTTGTCCTAAGGCAGTATTTACATAAGCACACAGGGTTAGCCTCAGCACAATCAGAAAGAGGAAAAAGGGTTCCACCTGTTGGTGCGGCATGAAGAATGTGGGCCAGTGCAGGGGTAGGACCTCTCTGTGGGTTAGGTCTGCTTCTCATCACCGTTTTTCTATGCTTTTCCCCTCTGCTTTCCAATGCAACCAGTTGGACTGTGCTGCAGGGAAGAATTGGGCGCCCAGAGAACCCGTTCCGAGTGGCCCTGGAATACATCTCGAGTGGAAACCGAAGCTTGTCTGCAGTGGACTTCTTTGCCCTGAAAAACTGCAGCGAAGGTACCTGAATCTGGCTTTCCCCTCCACTCCTTGGTAGCTTGTTGTCTTAAGTGGGTCAATTACCTGCCGCCATGATTAGCTGGGAATGTGCACACTTATATAGAAATGTCTACAGTGCTTTGGGTCTGATTGTGAGTATTGTCAAGTGCTCCATAGCTCAGCTGATCAATTTTCAAAGATCAAATATAGTATTATATCTGCTTAACTTAAAACTTTATCAAATAGAATATAGTCTTTGTTAGATAACACATTAGCTTAACTCCCCTGGCTGTCAAATACTTTCAGCTATGGTTTTGTTTTGTTTCGTGGAAATTTTCAAATGTTCACAATTGAATAGAATAGTGCAGTGAACCGCCATGTACCCTCAACTCAGTTTCAACAGTTATCAACAGTCTGCCATTTTTGTTTCACGTATATCTCCACCACGCTAACTTGATAATGATTAGTATTTTACTTTTCTTCCTGAGGTAAAATTTACAACTATGTATTTTTAATGATTTGATTTAAGCTGTCATTAAGGGACAATGTGGGAAATGGTTATATGTGAATTTTTTTGCTTATTTTGTAAAAATCATTAGGGCATGGTCCACTGTGTCATTGAATTTCTTTTGCATAAGCCCTATATTGTGAATTTATTTCAAGATTTATTACCAAGAGAGGGCATCTCTCTCCTGAAGAATAATTTGTTGATTTTTTTTCTTTTTGCCTTTGTTGCCAGGCAACTCTGAACTAAATGCAGTACTTAATCACAATAATTATATCTGTGTAGTTTTTTGTTGAGCTTATTTCCCCCTCCCTCTACAGAGTTTTTGATCTTCTATTCTTATTTTCAAGATCATGTTTTATATGTATCTTTCATTAGACGTTGCCTCAAGTCTGACTGGTATGCAGGATAAGATTGACCATCAATACATATATGAGGTCGATCTTTCCTTGGTTCTTCGGAAAACCTAGGGTCATAATTATAAACATCCTTTATTATTTCCCACATGTAGAGGGTATACAAGATGGGCTTGAATTATACAAATCTTCAGGAAAAGAGTTGCTTTCGTTGCCACTGTTCTGCTGTGCCTGTCTCTTCCCAGTGGCTCACTGGGAAGGGCGCTCTCACCTGTGCCATGAAACCTGTGGTCTGGCGGCCCAAGAATGAAGTGTTGACAGGAAGGAAGCCTGTGGCACTGCCAGACCTAACCTCTCCATTTAGACTGTTCGTGAACAACCATGAGGGCCCATAACGCACAGCCATCTGTTGCAGGTAGAGGCCCCGTTTTGAATCTGGAGCTGGTATGCGAAGCGGACCCCCTTTGGTAGGGAGCCCACTGACCACCCAGTTCCTTACGTTGCTGTAGCTCTTCATTCATTGCTGGCCTTGCAAGAACTTTGAAAAAGCGTATTTGTTTCTTTTTTTCTTTAATCAAAACTGATTTATGTGTGGGAAAAAGAGAAGTCACCATAACATGATAGATTGAACTTCAGTTCAAGTTGAAAAGTTGCTTAGCCTGTGATGTGAGGCACTGTACAAGAAACATGTGGTTTGGGAGAAAGCCAGGAGCTTGTACAAACGTTTCCACACTCACGAGCTTAGGGATTTGTGAACCTCTCTGTGTTCACAAATGTCAAGGGTCTACCTATGTACTGTCCAAAAGAGGCCATGTGTTGAAATGGAGCCGGTGAACAAGAATGTGTCAAGGAGAAGGCATTAGTTCTCAGAACTGGCCTAATTGCATTTGAACAACATCAGGAGAAGGGAATAAATGACTACAAAACTCCAGGTATCAGGCCCAGCACAAATAGTCCTGCAAAAATTCTTTCTACCTTTGAAGGATATCAGCCAGTTGTGCACAATTTTCGTCCTTTAGAACTTCCTTTCAGCTACAAAAGTTTTCCTCTGTAGCTTATGTTGCATTTGCAGTGACCTGTTGCACAGTTTAAAAGACATGTTTCTTTTCTGCTTCTCTACCTTTATGAAGCCAAGAGAGATGACCTCTCTAACTTTCTCTAATGATCCAGAAAGTGTTTCTTCTGGCAGGACACTCTCTTAAGGAGGGAGAAAAGAAGTCTTCATCTGATTCCCTAGGGGAAGTAGACTGGCCAGGAGACCCAGGGAGGTTCTCATGGCCCAGCTACCTTCCTTCAGAGGCTCCAAGTCCAAGAACAGATGGCTTCCATAGGGAACAGGTGTCCTTTATGCTCCTTCTCAGGCTTAGAATCCTGTGACCACCAAGGGGTGTGAAGGGATCACTGTGGATCTGTGTAAGGCAGAGAAGAACAAAGTGATCCCAGTGTGTCCTGAGAACTTCTAACTCTTCCTCCTGTTAGAGAACAAATTCAGGTGCATATCCGTTGGTGTGGACAAGTTGCAAACATAAGAAGCACCCTAAAGCTACCCTCATATATTTAAAGGGAAAGAGTTGTTTTGGAGGCGTACTCAAGGCCTGTTTGATATAGACAAATGTCTGCGTTTTCTGAGGTCATTGCTTTAGTTAGGTCATGAAGAGGAGGAGCTAAGAGGAGAGAAGTAATATCTTTGAGGGGGTGATGCTGATGACATGCTAGCCAGATTGTTAATAGGTTTGCAGGTTGTCTGGTCTACTTTCTATAGAACTCTACAACCCTTCCTTGTCCCACGTGAAAAGAGGTCCCTTTTTTTTTAAGAAGATGTTGGGGGAGGAGTTTATTAACTAATTAATTTATTTTGGCTGTGTTCGGTCTTCGTTTCTGTGCGAGGGCTTTCTCTAGTTGCGGCGAGCGGGGGCCACTCTTCATCGCGGTGCGCGGGCCTCTCACTATCGCGGCATCTCGTTGCAGAGCACAGGCTCCAGACGCGCAGGCTCAGTAGTTGTGGCTCACGGGCCCAGTTGCTCCGCGGCATGTGGGATCCTCCCCGACCAGGGCTCGAACCCGTGTCCTCTGCATTGGCAGGCGATTCTCAACCACTGCGCCACCAGGGAAGCCCCCAAGAGGTGCCATTTTAATTAAACTGGAGAAAGGGGAAGTTGGACAATTTTCCTCGCATAGGAGATGATATCTATCTGTGGGTGTCATCAGGGCAGAGGTCGTGCCTCTTTCCTCTCTGAATCCTGACACCTATCACAGTATGTAACAGTTAATAGCCGCTCAGTTAATAAGCAATAAAAGCTCACATCTGTGGAACACTTACCATGTGCACAGGCAAAGTGCTGATCCCTTTACGTGTGTTAGTTATCTCCTGCGAGCTTTACAATAATACTAAAAAATAGGTACTATTATCCTCATTTTACATATGGGGAAACTGAAGTTCACAGAAGTTTCTAAAGTTGCCACAGTCATTCAGTTAGGGAAAAGTAGAGCCAAACTCAATCCCAAGTCAACTGGATCACCAAGCCAGTATTTCTGTCCATGACATTCTGCTGCCTTAATGGAATGTGTAAAGGCTGGAGTTTTGTAGATTACTGGAAACCTTAAAATTACCCTTGACTCTTCCTCTTATCCCTACATCCAGATGGTCAAGTCTTGAGCTCTAGGCTTGTGGCTGCCTCACAGTCTATCTGTTGCTATCTAGATGCTACTGTTACTGCTTCTCAAGTTTATCCTTCTGACTTCATTTCCTCAGCCATGTGCCTTATGCAGGCCTTCACATATGCATACTGGGACTTTGGCAAGAGCCAGCTGGTCTCCCCGATATCATTATCCATCCTTCGCACATTACCAGGAAAATCTCCCCCAAATTCCTTTTCTTGTGGCACTTTCATGAGGATTTCAGTAACTTCTTATTGTCTACCACGTCAGAAATATAAGGGCTAGAATGGACCACCTCACTCATTTCCTGGGGCCAGGAAAATGATGGGCCGGGGGTCACCCAGCCAGTTGATGGTAGAGCTGGACCATCTTGACTCTGACCTTGGTATTTTCACCACTGCTCAGTCTTGCCTAGAAAGCCCCAGTGTCTCTGCCTGATTTCCAAGGTTCTTACAATCTGGCCCCCCTGTATCTGTTCAACATTATGCCCTCTGTTCTCTACACCTTCTGTCCTCTAGTCAGACTGGTGTTCTGTACACTATGCCAGGAGTGCCCTACTTGGCCCCAGGCCTTTCATTTTGAACACTGATTGATCATTTATGATCTAGCTTGGAGCCCAAACCCTCCAGAACATCATTCTCAGCTAAAGAAATTCTTCTCGGAAGACTTTGCTCTCTGCATCTAAATTTAGTAGCTGTTTTATAATTATTTCTCAACTAGTCATTTTAGGACCCTAACTTGAGGTTCAGAACCTTGTCTTCTATTTCTTTTATTTCTCCAGGGGGCAGTTAACACCATGCTAAATACATAAGAAACACAATGTAAATACTTGTTGACTGATTGGCTAATCAATCAATTGATAAATGCTACTCCTGCTTTTATAGCTTTGGGCTACTACTCCCAAAAGAAAGTAGCAGTGAGTGGAAATTACTTGGAAGAGGTTTTCCCCTCATCTTGAAAGAGCAGTGTGTATATTCAGCACTGAGGGGAGGGATGTCAGCTCCTAGAGACACCCATGCCCTGGCTCCCAGGGAACCCTTAACCCTTTCGAAATGACCTTTCTTCAGCAGACAACCCAGAGCAATAGGATTGTGAAGGACACTCATGGGGACCCCTCATGTTCAGAGAAAGCTACAGAAAGACATATGTCAGAATGGCAGGATTAGCATACTGAAAAGGATTTGAAAACTATCAGTGTGCCTCTGACCAGCTCATAAAAATACATATTACAAACACCCATCTAGCACCTTCTATGTGCCAGGTCCTCTTCTAAGCACATTGCTTATATTACTCATTAAGTCCTTATTGCTGTGAGGTATACATTATTATTATCATCACTCCCATTATATGGATGGGGAGATCGAGGCACAGAGACCTAAGTAATTTACCCAAAGTCTCACAGCTTTGGCTCCAACTGGCTCCAGCATCCATACTCTTATCTACCACACATTGCTGCTACCTGTAGAAGGTCCCTGCTGGACAGGACCTCAGAAAGCATCTAA